CATCCCCTAAAACTAAGGGTCCCCAAGAGACTTGCAACCAGGGGAGCAAGGGGCAGCGGAAGGGTGTCCTGGGCTAACCTCTCACCCTGTCTCCAAGGCCTCCTTTTCTCTGACTTCCCAGTGAGCTAAAGCAGCCCAGCCTAGGCTTTCCTGTTGCTTCTTCTATCCTAAGCCCTTCCTTGTTTCGCTGTCCTCAGCTTTAATAAACATACTCTCATAGTCACCTGAACTCATGTTGTGAAATCTTTCCTACATGAAGTCAGGAACCCACACACTACAGGCTGGCCCTAGGCAGACCCGCTTGGGCGCAGGTCCCCTGTACAGTAACATTTCAATGACTTGATTTGTGATAAAAGGTTGTTATCACCCACCAAGCTAAATAGTGGCAAACAAGAACAGTACAAAGATTTGGGATTCTTCCCTCTCTAGTGTTTTGTTTTGAGGGTAAAATTATGCTCAAGGACTAATTTTGTTTTTGCCAGCCATTTACTTAACACAGGTTCACTATAGGAGTGTAACAAGCCAACAGCATCCAGGATAATGTCTCTTAGTAAGACAATAAAAAAAAATAACATATGCCAAAGCAATGACAGAGTAATTATAGTATTATTCCAGGCAAGGAGAGGTGAAAGAAATAATGTCCAAATTTAGCTGAAGTGGACCTGTTTCTACAAGACGGCACTGGGGAGGGCCAGCTTTAACCAACCTGGAGCTGACTTCCAGCTGCAAGCACACAATGAAAAGTCCCTTTTTGCTAGAGCATGCTGCTAAGAAATGACGTAAGTGTTGATAGGCAGGATGATTCCTCCAAGGGGCCACTGCATGGCATTTCACCCTGTCTATGAGGAGCCGCCTCACCAAGACAGTAGCTATGCCCCAAGGGACTCTGGAGACCTAGCTTAGCAAAGTGCGCCTTGCCCAGACCGAAACTCTTGAATACTCCTCACAAACTGTCAGTATTTATCATCTATATAAAACAAATACTACAGATAATACTAACATACCCAGAGTTGCTTCTCCACATTATTGATAAGCCCCGGTGGGGTCACTTGCAGTTGAGCTGCTGATGACTTAACAACAGAGGACATGATGACATCCTGCCACAACCTACTCCACTCATATCAAAACACTTCTAAGAATGTTTTTGTTGTCTTTGTCATAAACAGGTGGATTAAAACAACTAGACTTAAATCATAAACAAGTGGTTTTGAAATCATATTAAACCAATAAATAGCATCTAGCTAATGCCATTGCTTGTCTTTAATTTTATGGATAATTTAAGAGTTTAGTTAATATGATTCTTCAAGAACTGAACAATCGTCCTTCAAAATTCAAGGCACTTCCCACATGCTCGGTAACATGCTTCCCACATCAAGGGACTACTACAGCCAAAGTAGTCTGGGAAAATCAGGACTGAATAGGGCTCACCAGGTTTCTTGAGGACAGGTATTCTCAGATCCATCCCTTCCTGTGGTAATGGACACTGGGAATCTCCAAGAGGAAATGTACAATAGAGTCTTTTCCAGCTCATTTGACCACAGAAGCCGTTTTTGGATGGAGGATGTGTGAAAAAGGGGGTTACAGAGCGTCATGGCCTCCGACTCATGGTTCTGCACTTCTGCAGCTGGGGCATTAGCCCATCACATTTAGCTGGTTGCCTGGATATTAAGTGAGCCTTCCCATATTCTAGAGAGCCTTCAATAGTTCAAACTTCTGTATGGCACTGAAATCAGTCACCTGCAGGCTGAACTAGCTCACATCACTACATTTTGGGGACTACCTAGGTAGTCGTGGACTAGCTCATAGTGTTATAAATACAATTTTGAACTTAATCATTTAGCACTGTTATGACGCACCCAAATCACCATCAGTCCTATGATACAGACTTGAAAAAGAGAGAAATTCACTAGAGAATATGAAAGAAATTTGGGGAGCTCACCTGGCCTGAGGTATACAAGCTACTAGCAAAGTGAGACACGCCTGAAAACTGCTGTCAGATATCTGCCGAATTATTCAGCATCATTTTTAACAGAATTTTCCTGACTAGGCAGGCAAAAATTGCAAAATCCATTCTAGAGACTAGCCCAATTATCATAAGTAGTAGTGTATCATGAATGCTTGGTTATGAGGCAAAACTATTTAGCATGAGACTGACTAAGAAACCTGTTAGGTATCTGACCCTCTGTTCTTAACATCTACTGATTTCACCAACCACTTCCTTTCATAGCAGTCAGTTCTCAAGATGAGAAGTTCTCACTCCCCATAGAACAAAACCATATTTGGGAAGCCAGTCATGAAAGACCAGAGAGTAAACAAATCCAATTATATTAAAGGACCAGAATAAGCAAATCATAGAGACAGGAAGTAGGTTAGTGGTTGCTGGGGCCTGGGCGGCAGTGGGGGGTGAGATATGACAGAGGGTACAGAGTTTCTTTTGGGGGCAATGGCAATATTTTCAAATTGACTGTGGTCATGGTTGCACAACTAGTGACTACATTACAAAACCATTGAACTGTACCTTTTAAATGGGTGAATTGCAAGGTATGTGAATGATATCTTAATAAAGTTGCTATGAAAACATATTAGGAAAGGAAGACGGCCCCAAGAGAAGAAAACAGGCTCTTGGGAATCCAGTCATCCCTGAGAAAACAGTATACAACCTGATGTAAGGAGCTGTTTCTCACACGTTTTTATTTTATCGTCATATTTAACCTGTCTTCACATTTTCAACTCACTTCTAAATTATTTTAGGTTACCAGATTTCTAACTTTGTTCTCCTTAGAGAGCAGAGTTAAGTGTTCCACCGACAGACTAGGTTGGCAAAACAAAACAAAACAATAAAAGCCCAATGACAAAATAATCTCCTGCCTTGGGGCTGTGCATTACCAGGCAGCGCAGAAGAGCTGAGGTTCATTTCTAGTGGCAAAACGCCATCAGGCGGAAGGGCATCATATATGACTCTTGCCTAAAACTCATTTCCTTTTCAAATCTGCAGTTATCTCCTTTACATTATATACTTCGACATAAGTGATGTTTTCATACCTATAGAAGTCAATAAAAGCAATGTTCTCTACCAAGGAATGTTAAGCTTTCTGCAGATCAAAATGCTAGCCAAATTTCCCTAAAACTAAAATTAATTTCTAAAAAAGTCTACTCTGTATCCTCCTCATCTTCAGCAACATACGATAAAGATGGAAAACTCTAAGGCTGCTGCTACAAGTCCAAAGCCACAGAGAAATTTCTTAAATTAGGTTAATTTTTTTTTTAAAGATAGTAGTTCCAAATATTTAGAGCATTTTGGATCCAATTCCTTTAATGAGAAGTTTACTTTTACTAACTCGCTGGTATAGTACACAATAAAATAATAGACTTTGAATAAGTTAAATTGGCTAATGACAAGCAATCAGTTTTCCCCAGTGATTAGTCATCTTCTACGTACGCAGAATTAAATCACAATGGGACTTTTTCGTGTATCTTCAACTATTCTTACACTACAAAACCAATTAGAGAAATTTTTTATAAAGAGAACACACATAGCTGTACAACAAGCTGAGTTTGTTAAATGTATTTGTAATGACAAAGAATTTCTGACACAAAAATTGTTCACGCACACATGACCCCAGAGAAGTGGTGAAACAAGACAGGTAATGTTAGATGGTGTACGGGGGTCAGGTGGGGTGAAGTCAGGGATAAATCAGAAACTGGTAAATATATGCTAAAGCAGAGCCACTTTTTAGAGGCATAAGGAAAACTGATAAATCACCTTTCTTAACCTCTTTAGAGAAGTCCATTTGTTAAGAACTGAAGATCACTGTATTATCATTCATGCTGCAAAATGTAGCAGTCATAGTTTCCAAAAGGATCCTAAAAACTGTAGTGCAAAGGAAAAGAAATCTAACAATTACAAAAACATCAACTTTTTTTCAAAGAAACGATCAAAACAGTGACTTTTACAAAAGATGCAAATTTGTTTTAAATGAAAAGAAGAATTCTATGGCCCTGGCCGGTGTGGCTCAATGGTTAGAGAATTGACCAGCGCACTGAAAGGTCATGGGCTCAATTCCAGGTCAATGGCAGGTACCTGGGTTTCGGGTTCACTCCCCATCCCCTTAATGGGGTGTGTGCGGGAGGCAACCAACACATGAATCTTTCTCTCTTTCTCTCTCTCCCCTTCGTCCCTTCCACTCTCTCAGAAAAGCAATGGAAAAAATATCCTCCAGTGAGGATTAAAAAAAAAAAATTCTATGAAAGATCAGACTCATTTCACAGATAACTTATACTGCATCAATGATTAACAGTACAAAAACAAGGGCCATAGGCTTTTTAAAATTAGGTCTGAAAGATCAACATAAATACCGACAGGGGGAGGTGCTTTATACCCCAAACTCCAATATTCCAGCTGTGTCCGGTCCTGTTGTTATGATTTGTAAAAATCTTAATGGTGCAAGGATTCAAGTTTCCGTAACTTCAACGACGTGTTAGAAGACAAGGCGTCTGGGTTTGAAGAGTTTGTTGTATCTGAGGGCTGGAACAGTACTCTACCACGATGATTGAATACATAAAATGATGGGTGATTCCTTAATGTGTCCAATGTCTTATTTTTCAGTTCTGAAGTGGCATCCATGTCTTTAAACTCCCCTGCAATATGAACTATACCATAACAGGTAACTGCAAAGGCCAGAAGTATCTGAAGGACAATATCTACCGGCAGGGACTCATCTTCCTTTTCTGTTAATCGCATGTAAGAGCGATGCTGTGCAGCGGAAAAGGCCGCGTGGGCTAGAGCCAAAAGGCCAATGCCCACCAGCCCCTTCCACAGCGAGGGCACCATGATTCCGCAAGAGCAGCAGCCCGACAAAAGCAGCGAAGGATTTTATTGTTTTCAGTGACACTGACTTAAAAGACTAAGCTATTTGTTCTGCAGAATGTCCTATCTTTTGCTTTCAATTTTTCCTCTTGGTGTCATTTTTCATCAATCTTGTGGTTCCTGTTTGATTATGTTGAAGTTAAAGATTTTTGGAAACAATACTCACAGATGATGCTGGAGACACATAATATATCGGGTAGGTCAACGTTTAGTGGTGATAAGATTCATCTACGTTAAGGTGGGAGGGGTGAGATTTTTCCGCTGTCATTGTTTTCCCCCTGATGACCAGCAAGTAATCCCTGGGGAATAATTTGAGCACATGTTAATACTCTGTTCCCCACTGCCCTTTCACCAAATGGTTTCATTAATGATCCTGGCATGAATCAGTTATTAGGGTCTGCAAAATGGTGATTTTCCTATCATTCATTTTACATTATTTAGCCGGCATGTTTTTGTAAGAACTGTTTCCACATCACTAGGGCCGTTTGATTACTTTGAAATACACCTGCAACTAGAAAGGCAGAATAAATGTTTATTTTCTTCAGTCACCACTTTTCAGAGGCAAGAGTTGGTGTAATAATCACCAAACGGGGTTTTTAAAAAAAAATTGTTTTTTGAATTTGACTCACTCTTTCCTGGGAATGAGTTTTGTACGTTTGTCATTTTCAACCAATTACAGTCATTATTTTGACACTCAAATGGTTCTAACTTTGGCCAGTGGGCATGCCTTCAAGGTGCTTCCCAGGGCCTTTTAAAAGGACCTCATTTTTCTTGGATGCCTCCGGTTCTGTCAGATGTTGCAAACACTCATTCGTCCCCAGCTCCTGACCTGGCCTCGGCCCTTCTCAAAGGAGCCCTGGGACTTTTGAGAGGAGAATGGCATTTAGAGCTCAGAGCCTGGGTGCTAAGGACACTGCTTCTAGGCCCTGAATTCGTATTAATACCATCACTCCAAAGTTAACAGTAGAGGATTTTGTCCCATTGCTCTCGTACGTCTATATCTTATTTTACACTGAGGTTTTTGCACTGAATGACATTAACAAATCACTCTCTTAATACTTACACCAGCCGGCAGCGTCGGAATTTGAACCCGGCACAGTCCTTCGGTCAGGGAAGAGCGCCCGAAACGTTCAGAGGGGCCTCTCCAGGACAAAGAAGGTCCCTAGAAAAGATATCGGGGAGGCCATCAGGGCTGGGGCTGCGGGGAACCGCGCGTGAGGTGAACAGCCCCGTCCGCGCCGACTCCTCCGAACCGGGCCAGGCGCGGGCTGCCGGGGGAGGAAGCTGCCGCCGCCACGGCCGCTGTTTCGCCTCAGGCGTGCCCAGAACTCCCTAAAGCGCACCCACGGCCACGCACCCACACGCGTGCCTCCCCCACCCACGCCCGAGGGTGAGGAAACCTGGCTGGTACCCCAGGGCCGCGACCGCCGAACGGAGCCCACGCGACCTGACCTGCCTCCGCGCAGCGCCCGACCGCTCGCCAATCGGAGGCGGCCTTGGCCAAGGGGGCGGGACAAGAGAGGACCGTGTCCAATGAGGAGCCAGACTCCGGTCTCCTCAGCACAGAGCATTTCCGAGTCCAAGTGGAAAGTGCAGAGGAGGCGGTGGGCCTGCCAATCAGGAGCGTCGTCGGGACCGACGGCCAATCAGAAGAGCGCTCGCCCCGGCTCGCCCGGCCCACACTTCCCACTTTTCCGCCAACTCCAGAGGCCGCGGCGGCGGCGGTGCCGGGGCCGCCGCGCTTGCCGTCCTCTGCTCAGACCCTGCGGCTGACGCCGGGGCGCCTGGCGGGTCATGGCGGACTCGGGCTGCGCGGACCTGCGGGGCCAGGAGGAGGAGAGCTTCCTGTACTTCGCCTACGGCAGCAACCTGCTGACGGAGCGGATCCACCTCCGCAACCCCTCGGCCGCGTTCTGCTGCGTGGCCCGC